CCAATATTAACAAGCTGGATCATATAGCTTGAATATTACTGAGTGTGGCATTGAACAACAATTAAAGAGTCATTAGTTGTTAATTTTTTTTTTAAGTCTCGACCTCCTACCAGTTATATCCCAGAGAGTCCTTAAACCAGTCTTATAAATTTATGCCTATATAGCTTTTACACTATAATTGTTGACTAGGCATTCAAGAACAAAAAATGTAAAAAAGTCATGCTTTGAGTCACTGATTGGTTGTATCCAGACTCAGCACCATGAAATTGTCAGGAATATTGATGTCTATAGTTTTGAACAACATTTAGTTTACTTTACAGTAACGTGTGGGAACATTAGTTTAAAAATGATCCTATTATCTGTCAGTTTGGTGTGAACTGGGATGTGAAAATTTGAAAATGAAAGGTTGTATGTTTTTCAAATTAGAAATTTCTAAAAAGGTTTAGCATCTGGATAAGATGACCTTCACCTTTGAGAAAACTTTGACCTCAAACAAATATATTTCCATGGCACCATGGTATTATGTTGTTGAGCTATTTGACCAGTCTACGTCAGTGACAAGAAACAGCATAGGTCCATTCTTCAGTACATCTGTCAAATGTGTTTGTGTAATTGCTTTTGTAAGAAATAGAATTCAGTTCTATTAACAACACATCCAATTATTTCTTTGCAAATGAACTTTGTTTTTAAATGAACTGATCATTGTGTTTTTTTCTGAGAATAATTCTTTTGTTGCATGTCAAGGCTTAATGAGTGCAAAACCAAAGTTTTTTAAACACAATCTATGATATAAGTCACTGAAACTATCGCCATTGTTTTAACGAGAGCAAAAAGTCACATGAACCAGCAAGGAGAGGTCATCTAGTTTTTAGATTCTGATTGTGGGCAGGATAGGTGCCCTATATATCATGGTTGTCTCCATTGGGATTCTAGGCAGGATAGGTGCCCTATATATCATGGTTGTCTCCATAGGGATTCTAGCCAGGATAGGTGCCCTATATATCATGGTTGTCTCCATAGGGATTCTAGGCAGGATATGTGCCCTATATATCATGGTTGTCTCCATAGGGATTCTAGCCAGGATAGGTGCCCTATATAACACGGTTGTCTCCATTGGGATTCTAGGCAGGATAGGTGCCCTATATATCATGGTTGTCTCCATAGGGATTCTAGCCAGGATAGGTACCCTATATATCATGGTTGTCTCCATAGGGATTGTGGGCAGGATAGGTGCCCTATATATCATGGTTGTCTCCATAGGGATTCTAGGCAGGATAGGTGCCCTATATATCATGGTTTCTCCATAGGGATTGTGGGCAGGATAGGTGCCCTATATATCATGGTTGTCTCCATAGGGATTCTAGGCAGGATAGGTGCCCTATATATCATGGTTTTCTCCATAGGGATTCTAGCCAAGATAGGTGCCCTATATATCATGGTTGTCTCCATAGGGATTCTAGGCAGGATAGGTGCCCTATATATCATGGTTGTCTCCATAGGGATTCTAGCCAGGATAGGTGCCCTATGTATCATGGTTGTCTCCATAGGGATTGTGGGCAGGATAGGTGCCCTATATATCATGGTTGTCTCCATAGGGATTCTAGCCAGGATAGGTTCCCCTATATTTCATGGTTGTCTCCATAGGGATTCTAGGCAGGATAGGTGCACTATATATCATGGTTGTCTCCATTGGGATTGTGGGCAGGATAGGTGCCCTATATATCATGGTTGTCTCCATAGGGATTCTAGCCAGGATAGGTGCCCTATATATCATGGTTGTCTCCATAGGGATTGTGCGAAGGATAGGTGCCATATATATCATGGTTGTCTCCATAGGGATTGTGGGCAGGATAGGTGCCCTATATATCATGGTTGTCTCCATAGGGATTCTAGCCAGGATAGGTGCCCTATATATCATGGTTTTCTCCATAGGGATTCTAGCCAGGATAGGTGCCCTATATATCATGGTTGTCTCCATAGGGATTGTGGGTAGTATAGGTGCCATAAATATCATTGTTGTCTCCATAGGGATTGTGGGCAGGATAGGTGCCCTTTATATCATGGTTGTCTCCATAGGGATTCTAGCCAGGATAGGTGCCCTATATATCATGGTTGTCTCCATAGGGATTGTGGGCAGGACAGGTCGTCATGTTTGCTCCCAAAGGGAATTCTGGTTTATAATAGGTCTGATGGTCACAGCAGGTGACTTGGTTGATTGTGTGGCATCCAGAAGATTGTGGACCATTGCTCATAATATCAATCACTGGTTTGTCTGACCACGACTTGATTATTTACAGGTAGCCATCATATAGCTGGAATCCTGCTTAGTACTGCTGTAAACATTAAACAATTTCCCAAACAAAATATGATACTTGTTTTCCTCGGGATTTCAGTAGCAGAATGGAGCTACAACACCTCATATAACTTTATCTGATATTGAAAAAGTGACAATATGCACTCAAATCTATATCTTGCCCACGTGAATACTATCTTTTGCCATATTACAAATGGGCAAAAAGGCAGTCTGCGAGAATACGCAGTCAATTAGTCAATCTTTAACGACGCAGTTCTTCACGATAACGATATCCTTCAACCTTTTGATAAAAATTCAACCAAATTTTTTGTTGCAAAATTTAATAGTTTCTTTGGGAACAATCTTTTTTGTCCTTCAAGTTCATATGACCCACTTAATGCAACACCGACTGTCCATGTTTCTTGAGTTTCAAGAATCCTTCATCAAGCTAGAGAGCGGTATCATGTTAACTTTGATTTCTCCTTAAAATATTGAAGTCTTCCATTCTCTACACATAAACAGAGAAACAGTATTGATTTTCCTGTGAAGAGAGAACACGAGAGGGGAATAAAGTTAGATATTTAACCAAACTTGCCACACTGTTATTTGAGATTCATTTATTTCAGATGACAAGACAGGCTTGTTAGGACAGGAAAACAGAGGCGACAACTTGATGACCTTGGGTGACCTTGATGATACTGCTTATCTGACCAACGTCTTCACGATTGAATATTGATCTCTGTGGTAACAAAGCTGGCATTGATTACATGTAACAAGCCTTGATCAATCAGGATGCAATGTGGCAAGGAAAGAGTCCGATTACGCCAGAGAAAAGATGCATTTACTGCTGGGCCCCGAGGGTAAATGGGCTGTTTGTTAGCCATGTAGGAGAAAGCCAGAAAATAGCTGTCGAGAGGCCACTGGTTGTGATGGACAAATGACGAGTTGGTGACGGAAATATCCCATGGCCTTCTCAAAGTGCAATTCACTTCCCATTTGAGTATTATGAATTTGAAAGGTGCAATTATTTATTTAATAAGATTTGATGTCTCACAGCAAATTGCTGCCAGTAGTGTTTAGTAGTAGACATTGAAGTGCATAATTGTTAACGCTGAAGATGAAACAATTGTCAGGGGTGAGTTTTGTAATGATTTCTTTTACTTCTACTGCTGAGTAAGCATTTTGTGGGATCTGGCATTTCTTAAGAAGAGCATGGCAGACATTATTGAAGTTCTCAATGCAAAAGGACCTACACGCAACAATATTGACTAACCAATCATGAAGCAGAGCTCTTGACCATGAAGACATTAACCAATCACATTCCTCTGATTACAAATTGGTGCAAACTCCTTACACTGGCATACACTAAGCTTCTTACAGTGCCTCTGATGACAAATCTTCTCATGAAAGCAAACTCCTTACACTGGCATACACTAAGCTCCTTACAGTGCCTCTGATGACAAATCTTCTCATGAAAGCATCGGCTTTGTCAAGCAAATTCAGAGAGATGGTATGGTTATTGGGATCTATTTCAGCAGACACCAGATGATATGATAAAACTGTCAATTTAGACGCAATGCAAGCTTAATATGTGCATAATACAGTTTACAGATCCGAGGGAGGAGAAAAAGCTGCCAAAATTAGTCGCAGCCGACCAAGATTTGCATCAATTCGAGAATATCTTTTTCCTAATCAGTGTGTATTCTGTCTGGAGCATCGGAGAAGATGCTCTTGGATCTTTAACACAACTCCAACCTCATGAAGTGTTGTATTATCGAAAAGTGCTATTTCCAGTTACTATTTGCATTTTAGTTCTTTATACAAATGATCAATCTTGGTATTTAAGACATGCCTTTTGGTTTTACAGGAAACACTTGTTGTAGAAAAGCACCCGCTTTTAACATTAAGTTTAGATTTTAGTTTTGGTTAAAAAAGGTTTTAGCCGATCAATTATTTTTTGTTTATGGATTTCTTTGGCAATATCCTGTTATCACAATCTCATTCAAATCAGATCTTAGTTCTCGCTATCACTACACACAGATCTGAGGACAAGTCATTTCAGAACGACCTTTCATTCGATCAATCAGAGCATTGGTTACAAGATCGCCAAAGTGAAAATCAGAATGAGTTTTCTTATCATTCAACCTCGAAAAGGTTAACATCGGGCATTCCGAACAAAAATGTAATGGGCTGTACGACTGATTCCAAATGTGAGTCATGGCGATGACATGCTAGACATTTGAAACAGAAGAGACGTTCCACAGCCCGGACATACAATCTTGGCCGTCTATTAGACAATCCAGAATTAGCTTTTGTTCATTTTTCAAATTTTAAATTGAGAACTTTGTCAAAATATATCAAAGCATTGTCTGGAATGGAATTGCCGTTTTGAAAATAGTCCCTTTGAGTCTTGAGAAAATTGCTTTCTGATTGTCTGAAGTCGACTTCCTGTTCGTCATTTCATTGGTTGTCAAAGTTCACGAAAGGTAGTTCTAACATGGCCTGTAATAGGATGTCCTCTGATCTTTCTGGAGCGGTATCTAACACAGAGGTCAGATTTTAATCAGATAGCTGTTATAAAAAACTTGGGGGCAAGGATGGCCCAGTCGTCTAGGGCGCCGCGATTCGCTGTGTAGAGTTGCGTCTCTTGGGCACGCCAGAAACCTAAGATTGTGGGTTCGAATCCCGGTTTGCCCTGATTATGTTTCTAGGTTTGTCAGCACCATACCCGTGCTCGTTGGTTTCACCAAAGTGGTAAACGTCTGAGACATGCACCCTTTCGGGCTTTCCTCCCACATTAAGCTGACACGCCGTGGTATAACTGGAATACTGTTAAAAGCGGAGTTAAACCCAACTCACTTTCTGTAAAACAAGGAACCATAAGACTTAATCTTTCATAGAAGTTCATTTCTTGTTCCATTTCATATCATTGTACCATCTATCAGGATACCTACAATCACCAGCAGTATTAGGAGGCCCTGTAAGGGTTGTAGTTATTTGTACATTATGATCCTGTATTTAGTGTGTGGGTCTTAAGGACCAAAAAGGTAGCTGTTCGACAAGCAAATGGCCAGTTTTTTTTCACGTGTTGTTTAATTATCTGAATGAAATGTTATTGTTTGTATAATTGATTGATGTTTTATGCAATCTTGATTGGCAGCATCTTGGTTATTATTGTTTTTGTTGTGTCTGTAAAAAATTGTTTTTGTCATTGTCCCTTTTAAGAAAACGACTCTTTTGTTTTATGTTATTCATACTTTCCACTTTCAAATTTAAACTTTAATTTGAAATCTATTTTAGTACTTGGTTATTGTCACATATTTTCTTGTATATGATCAAACTTGTAGGTTTGTTTCAAATCAAATTTTTGAATAGATTTATTATATTAAAATAAAGTCAATCTGTTGTGTTAAAGGTTCAGCTAAACATGTCATGCAGTCATTAAAAAGTACTTGGCGTGTTGACAAGATACTTCCTTTTCTGATTATGCAAAGACAATCTCTTTAAAATTGCATCTTTTACTCTGATACGGTACCTGTCTGCATAAAGATCTGATCACACCACCTTACAATTGAGCCAATCATTCATAGCCTCATATCTGATTTCTGTTTATCTAAAACCAACACAAACAGTCAGTTCTGAATGGAAATAAAAAAATCATTATTCCACTATTGTACATATTTTATACACCTTGTCATTTGTGAGTGCCCATGGCATCTACACTCAAAAGGGTGTACCATTGACAGGAATATTTGCATTCTGTGTCGATTTTCTTTGGTTGGGATGAAATTTCTGAAACAGTTTGGTAAAGAAATTAAGACAAGTCATTTTAGAAAGCTGACATTTGATTGGCTCGTGAACCCACACATCCTTCATTTTGATTGGGTGGTCATAGTTGTCTCTGGGTTCACCTGCACCAACTTCCTATGTAGGTGTCATCAGATCGTACCGCAGAGACGTACAGTGTTGGAGTAAAAGATCTGATGAGATAGTACATCAGGCTACAATTAATAGAACTGAGACATTCGTTCCTTCAGTGGAAACTGTTTATTTATTTCTTGGTACATGTACTTGAATTACAAGGCAACATAAAGAATTACACTGATTTACTTTAGAGGAAGGGTGAGGCCTGGGATTTTATAGAAAAAAATAAATTGTCCCTGATAATTCTTGAAAAAAGAAATTATGCTTCAGTCTGATAAAAAAAAGAAGTAATTGCCTGCCACAAAAATTACATTGTTGCAAGTGTTTTTCTTTTTAAAAAATCAGACTCATTGTTTTGAATAAAAAAATATCTTGTTTTGTAGCTGTAGCTGCAAAAATATCTAATCTGGATGCAAAGTACAGGATACAGGACAACCTTCCACCCAACCCAACCTCCCCCAACCCAAACCCAGAATATCAAGTGGTCTGTCCCCTAAGGAACAAATGCCACAGAAATTGAAACACTGATTTTTAATGGAATAATACAGAATATATCTGTCATCTGTTTAACATTAAAATCATATCTTAGTTCTTTCTATCGCTAAACATATCTTTGTTCAGCGGTAGCAAGAACCAAGATGTCATTTTACTGTGATTGTCACAAATTAAATATATTATTTTCCTCATTTATATGACGTATTATTAAAGAAAAATGTCAATGTCTGTTCTTAGATGTTATTTGGCTTTTGAATATTGTTGATAGTGATTAAATTATAAAATGCATTATCCGTATACATGCATGAAACACTACAGTGAATCTTCTTCACATGATATCCTTTGTGAATAATAGAGGGTGACATTTGGTGACCAATAGAACTTCCTTGTTGTGGAGTAGAGCCAGTACAAATCTCACAATCATTACCAGGAACTGTTGCCTAGCAACAAGAAATACTACCCTCATCATGACGTAGTTGTAATACTATATAGATATATAGATGTGATGCTGTGAGCATTTAGTTCGGAGGTGTATTTGCTCAAAGGTATGAGGTCTTTGTACCTGTATGAGGATGTCCACTGCTCTATAGTAATAGAAATGATCTTTTTCTAAAATAGGTGTTTTTTTAAGTTTAATGATGAAATGCCCAAATGCCAAAAAAGGCACACTTATAATGTAACATGCCAAATTCACACTTTGCTATAAAATCATTGAAGGATATACCTCATTGTGTCAACAGTTAACCACACACAGATGAAACGTTAATCTTTAAGAAATCATTATTTCAATGCTAGAATATACCAGTTTGACTGCTTACTTTACTTATCTGTTTATTTTAGACATTTAGAAAACAAAAAAGAGCAATATGACACAGTTATCATGTACAGTGACCTTTTATCTAATAGATTAACATTAGCATAGTGACTGTTCTCTTCCACTGAATCTAGAGACTGACAATGTTGTGTATTGAATGCAGTGTTTCTTGATAACCAAGCTTCTCAGTTACTGTTGTCTGTATCTGGGGATTGGGTGGCTCCACTTGTTGATGGAATGAATAGTATGGAGACCACAAGGGTCGACCTGGATTTGTGATGGGGGAAGGTGCTCATTTCATCAACCCCTGATTTGATTGGTTCAGAATTGTAGATGACTACAGCACAGAACTCCACCCACTCACTCACTCACCCACTCACCCACCCACCCACTCACTCACTCACTCACTCACCAAAACCACCCACCCAACCACCCAGTCACTCACTTACCAAAATAACCTGCCCACCCACTTACTCACACAAATATCCCATCCACCCACTCACTCGCTCACCAAAACCACCCACCCAACCACCCACTCACTCACTCACTCACCAAAACCACCCACCCAACCACCCACTCACTCACTTACCAAAGCCACCCACCCAACCACCTACTCACTCACTTACTCACCAAAACCACCCACCCAACCACCCACTCACTCACTTACCAAAGCCACCCACCCAACCAACCACTCACTTACCAAAATAACCAACCCAACCACCCACTCACTCTCTCACCAAAACCACCCACCCAACCACCCACCCACTTACTCACACAAATAACCCATCCACCCACTCACTCACTCTCCAAAACCACCCACCCAACCCACGCAACGCTCATTCATTCTCAAACATGACAGCTATTCACTCATACACTGAAACACTCATTCATACACTGAAACACTTTCCTTCACTCACTCACCAAAACCACTGACTCACTCACTCACTCACTCACCAAAACCACTCACTCACTCACGGGGATGGTATGTCTATGATAGGCAACCCCCCAACCAGTTGTATATACACTTAAAGGGGCACTTGACTCAGGCTAATTGGCCATTCCAGCAAATGTGATTCAAATCCTTCATGTGCCATTATTTTACATGACATATCAATCGAGAATTTAATGATTACACAAATATAATGCTGCAGTTTTCAAGGAAAATAATGCTCGAACAAAACAATCAATTTAGATGAAAACTGTTTATTGTAACTCAAATAGATTAATTCCTGAAAGAACCATCTACAGTGTACAGACGGGGGTCGATATCTCTGCCCTACTCCTGACTTTCTCAATGGCACGAGTACTGTTTGATTTATTTATGCAGTAGTGTGTGATGCTTTACTAGCTTGGAGCGGCAAATAGGGAGAATATTAACCATCGGTACTATTGAATTACTTGGAACACCAGGAGCTTATCTATTATCTGTCACAGGACAGCTGACTAATGGTTTACTGTTGATCAATTCTTTATTTTTATGTTGCTGCTGAATCACGCTCAAGTATGCTAGTGACTACAACAGACTTGGGAAATGTTGGTGATTCTGAAGAAAAATATATAATTCTTTGCCATTTCAAAAATTCAGGTAAGAAGTTGCTTGGGGACCTGTGTTCAAATCTCTTTCGTGCAGTGTGTCTCTGTTCCCCAACCTCCCTCACCCATACACTGCAACACTCACCCATACACTGCAACACTCACCCATACACTGCAACACTCACCCATACACTGCAACACTCACCCATACACTGAAACACTCACCCATACACTGAAACACTCACCCACACACTGCAACACTCACCCATACACTGAAACACTCACCCATACACTGCAACACTCACCCATACACTGAAACACTCACCCATACACTGAAACACTCACCCATACACTGCAACACTCACCCATACACTGCAACACTCACCCATACACTGCAACACTCACCCATACACTGCAACACTCACCCATACACTGCAACACTTATATACTCTCATACATGACAGCCAGTCACCCATACACTGAAACACTCACCCATACACTGAAACACTCACCCATACACTGAAACACTCACCCATACACTGAAACACTCACCCATACACTGCAACACTCACCCATACACTGCAACACTCATATACTCTCATACATGACAGCCAGTCACCCATACACTGCAACACTCATATACTCTCATACATGACAGCCAGTCACCCATACACTGCAACACTCATATACTCTCATACATGACAGCCAGTCACCCATACACTGAAACACTGATTCATACACTGAAACACTTTCATTCACTCACTCATACACTGAAACACTAATTCACTCACTCATATACTGAAACACTTTCATTCACTCACTTATACACTGAAACACAATCATTTACTCACTCATACACTGAAACACTTTCATTCACTACTCATACACTGAAACACTTTCATTCACTACTCATACACTGAAACACCCACTCAAACACCGAA